ATGTTTTGCTTACATATATGCATGTACAACATGTGTGTGCTTGGTGCCTGCAGATGCCAGAGAACATTAGCTGCACTACAACTGAAGATACAGTTATGAGTGGCATGGTAAATTTAAAAAATAAGCTGTCTTCTTAAAGAATCCTATCTGATAAATTACTATTTTTGAGAGGACAAAGCACCCTTATGGTAAATTTCACTTTAAATATGACTTGGCTCAATAATGTGCATGGCTCTGATCTGTGAGTGGGAGTGCAAGTTGGTACAGGTCCTGTGGATATCTGTATAGAGATTTCTCAGAAAATTAGGAAAGATCCTTCCTCAAGACCCAGCAATATCACTTTTGGGTATATAGCAAAAGGATGCTCAATCGTACCACAAGATCAGGTGCTTAACTATATTGACAGCAGCATTGTTTGTCATAGCCAGAACCTGGAAGTAATCTAAATGCCCCTCAACTGAAGAATGGACAAGGAAAATGTGGTACATTTACACAATGGAGTACTACACAGAAGAAAAAAAATAACATCTTAAAATATACTGGCAACTGGATGGATCTAGAAAACATCATATTGAGTGAGGTAACCCATACCCAGAAAGACAAATATCATATGTACTTGCTCATAGGTTGTTTTTGAACATAAAACAAAGAAAACCAGCCTACAAATCACAATCCCAGAGAACTTAGACAACAATGAGGACCCTAAGAGAGAAATACATAGATCTACTCTGCATGGGAAGTAGTAAAAGACAAGATCTCCTGTATGAATTGGGAGCATGGGGGCCATTGGAGAGGGTTGAAGGAAAGGGGAGAGGCAAGGAGGGGAGCAGAGAAAAATGTATAGCTCAATAAAATCAATAAAAAATAAACCAAAATGCAAGTTATTATTACTTGGCATGTGATACCTCCCTGGGTTATTGTTCAGAATGTCTCTAGAGACTCAGAAAATAATTTAGGCTCTTTCCCCTGCTCTTAGTTGTCCAGCACTGTGTGGTAAGACCCTCTTGCTGAAGACACCACACACCTTCACTGGGGAACATAGAGAAGTGAGTCCTCAACTTACTGAGAAATGTCATCTATGCTGACCAGCTTTCATACTGCATAAAGGTGCTCTGTAGGCTCCAGACAGAGAAAAGATGTCAGTGGTCTTACCCAGCACTGGGCCTTGCATGTTACAGTGTGGATATATTAGGCAAGATAGTAACACTGGTGTAATAGTGACACACAGAGGTCACCAATATCTGTCCAGGTGGATCTGATGCCTGTTCCACGGGGAAGAATTAGTGATGGTACTGTAAACACAGTTGGAAGCCAATGACTGGAGAAGGGAGCCACTATTGTTTTGCTAAATGATTATATTGTCAAAATGCCTTTTAAATATTTCTGTTTATACCCATAGAACTAGGCTACTTCCCACCTTGGTCCAAGAAGCTTCTTTTGCAATGGGTAGTAGTTAATGCAGAGGTTCATAAACATGAGTGCTCAGCCGGAAATGAGAAGACATCTATATACCCCCCCCAACAAAGTCCAAAGAACATCATGGGAGGGGCGTTGGAAAGATGGAAGAGCTGGAGGATGGGGAAGAGGGAAGAATGCTGTCAAGTGCCATCTCTGAATGGCAGCTCTTCCTACCACTATACCAACAATGCTGCAAGTATCATCTTCTGGATATGACATTGTTCTTGCTCTCATGAATAACAGCAACAGTGGTTGCCTGTCCAGGATCAGCACAAGATCAAAACTATCAGAACTCCAGCATGAATGAGGAAAATGCTCATGAGGCCCCACTCATAACTGAGGAGCTATCGGCAATTGGTGGTTACTGGAAGAGAATTCTTATTTTTCTGGGGCGTGGGGATATGGTTACTAGTATGTTCCCTATGCTCTGGTAGATGGTTCCACACCATCTACCATCTTGTGTGTACAAGAAGCACTAATTAGCCTCAGTTAATTAGTTATAAGAAGGAAAGAAGGAAGAAAGGGAAGGAGGAAGGAAGGATAAAGGAGGGAGGTAAGGAGGGAGGGAGGGAAGGAAGAATAAAGGAGGGAGAGAGGAAGAAAGGAAGAAGGGAGGAAGGGAGAAAGGAAGGAGAGAAAAAGGAAGGAAGCAGGGAAGGAGGGAGGGAGGAAGGAATGGAAGGAAGAAAGGAAAGGAAGGAGAGGGGAGAGAGGGAGGGAGGAAAGAAGGAGAGGGAATGAAGTTCAAAGGGAACAGTTTTATGAGGGTTCTAGGTGGATATATTGTATTCATGAAATTCTCAATGAGTAGACACAATAGTGTTTAATATGTGTCTATATTGAGAACACAGTGTTTCTCTTGTCATCATTTCCCAGGGTATACATATCACTTGCATTGTATTGGGTATTATAAAATAATTTAGAGTCAATTAAAATACTCATGAGTATGTACATAAGCCACACAGCAAGTACATACATGAGTATGTACTTGAATATCTGTGGATTTTTGACATGTTCAGAGGAGTCTTCAAACCAATCCCCTATGGATATCAAGGTACAAACAGACAAGTACTTCATAAATCAAAAGTTTTTGGACTAAAAGCAGGGCATCTGTAAACTGGACTTTTGTGGAACCTCTTGGGCATTCCTAGTGAGTCAATGAGGCTGAAGTTTTATTGTCTCTCTATGTGTAAATAGCAGACTTCTGAACCTGGTTTCCATTGCCTACAGAAACAACACCTGGAAATCAACACAGAGCATGCTATCCATCAGAGTCAAGATTATCTTTTACCATAACCATGTGTCCTTGATAGACAGGAAATTCCTCAAAATCTCCTGAATTATTAGTCCACAATCATTGTGTTGTATTTCAAATTTTAATTGTGTCACTCAGAAGATTCAAATTTTAAACATGGGAATGGAGAGAATAGGATAGTTTAAGAAGAAAAATGTTTGTAAAGTAATTATATGTTAATTCTTCCACAAGGAATTGATATTGAAGTGTAGTTGGCTGATTTTGTTCAGAAAACAATGCATTTCAAGCAACCCAAGAATGCTGGACTCTTGTCACACCAAATTGAGACCTGTCACAGACTTTTCTTTCTTTTTCTCATAACCAAAGTCAACCACATGACCTTATTTATTTATCCTATGGAAAATGATTTATGGATCAGATATAAAGCTTTGTACAGTTTGCAATACTGAAAAGAATCATTTAATGTACAGTAAATAGTAATCAAAGCAGACCTTCTAAGCTTAAAGGTGATTACATGAATATTAAATCTGGCTATAAACCATCAGGATTACGATTCTCATTACAGTCACTGTCTTTTCTCTTTGATGCTTATTTCTTTTTACCATATTTAGGGTATTCTCCATAACTGTTTCCACCTTACGGTTGAAATTGGTTGCTTGAATGCAACACTCAATAAACACGAGGAAGCAGAAGTAAAATCTTAGGTGCAAAATATATGGAATGTGTGTTCTTTTTAAATGTTTGATTAACATATATTAATTATACACAGTAATGAATTTTATTGCGGCATTGTGATGCATGTACATAATGTATTTTGTTCATGTTCCATCTGTGAGAATGTGTTTAGTACCACAAAATATCAGCTATGTTCAGAGAACAACAAAATAACCAAGTTTTAATGTATTGGTGACTAAATTATAGAAAAGATATTATGCCTTACTTAGTTTCATTCATTCCTACAGATAAAATTCTACTAATGAACCAAAATATACATCTAAATAAGAATTAGAGGCATGGCTTGATAATAACTATTATTCTAAAGCAAAAGTATTCAAGAATTTCTAAAAAAAATCCATTCAAAGTGGTTATAATTTTAATGGGTTTTTCCTCAATTGCACGGCTATTATATGGCTATCTACTCCTTTTTTCTCTCTCTCTCCCACTTCTGTGAGGGGAAGTAATTATTATGTAGCTTACAACATGTGTAATTTGTACTGTAATTATAGAAGATAATCATTGTCTCTAAAAATACTTATAGGAGAGGCAAATAACTGATCGCTGCCCGAAAGCTAGACGCAAGCAACGCTGGCTGATTTGAGAGCACCCTTTCCACCTGCAGAGCCTGTTTGTACAGGAAAGATTGTTGTTCTGTTTTTCAAGGACTACAAGATGACTTGGTAATCATTTCTTAGAATAAAACACTGCTTGAAGGTATAAAATGCAGAGTTTAATTTTGTGAGCGGGTGATGGGCTGACACTTGGGTTACAGGGATGATATCTGTCCTTGGTTCCTCAGGGACTCCACTCTACCAGTATCTAACCTCCTTTGATCCCCAGGATTCCCAGGTCTATGGGTTACATCCACCTGACTGTCTCTGCTTTGCTTGCTTCACTAGGAGGAGTTCGGGGCTGAGTGGGGTATGCCTTTCCAAGGTTCTCACTGGGGACTAACTGCCTTGGGAAAACCACTTCCAGTCTGCAAGCCTTCCCCACACTTTTCTCTGCCTTTGCATATGTAACCTTGTGGCATCAATCAAAGAGTCTTCTGCAATGCAACCCAAGGCATTCAAAAGTCTTGTTAGTCAGTTTCTCATACATCACCCACACCTTTTAATCACCCCTATATTAAACATTTTGGATTAACTCTGATTTTAGTGTGTGCTATCTTTTCTGTAGCATTTAGCTCTTTTGTTATTATTTTTTTCCTTCACTTCCCCTTAGGAAATATTCCACTGATAAACAAACCAGTGTCCATGCTAACAAAACTTTTAGCCAGAGACGTAGTCATAGTAGATAAATGACACCATAATATAAAAATACAATGTCCAATAAATATTTGTGTCTTTTATATATAAATGAAATAAATGTAACTAAAGATGCCTGATCAAGTAAATTTAGAACAATTTCTGTCAATCACCAATATATAAAGTTACTCTAATTGATGCAAATGTTTTTAGTTCCACTATAAAATTATTATACATACTGTATGGAACATATGAAAGAAGCTAAATGTCACATTAAACTATTTTGGGAGCATAATTCTTCTTTACAAACACTAAAGGATTACCTTTTCACCAGTTTCTCCTTTGGTGCCTTCAAGTCCTTGTTCTCCCTGCATAAGAAGAGCATCATTTAAAGTAATAAGAACAGTTCTTATGGTTCATGGAATTTTCATAATAATAACAATATTTCTAAGAATAAAATATCAGTGATTTAAACAGTTTCCTGCGATATGAAGTCCTAAGCAAACACTAAGCAATGCAAAGTCTGAATAGTACAAAATACTCAAGGACCAGCTTTTTTGCATATTTCCTTACCTTCCCAAAAGATTACATCCCATAAATTCAAGGCCCCTGCACATTTAAGGTCAAGGAATGGTACTGTCTAGATTTGCTTTGAGAACGAAGCAGCACAGACTGAGTTTGCAATTCGTGTTGTCACTAACATCTCATTAAATCCAGACGACACAAGCTTCTTTGAAACCTACCTTCCACATGAGAATCTAAGGAGAGGTTCATGAGAGGGTTTAGAGTTGAGTCCTCTACCCCCAGCCTCAGCACTTCCCTGCACCTGGAGCCACAGGCTACTCTTTGTTCTGCTCATGTGGTTTACAGTCACAAAAAGAACTGTTTTCTAAGTCTAGATGGAGGAAGGACAGAGATGAGAGCAAGGAAGGATAGATCTTGATTGAGGGAGCCATTATGGGGCTAGCAAGGAACCTGGAACTAGAGAAATTCCCAGGAATCCACAAGGATGATCCCAGCTAGGATCCTAAGCAAGATAGGAGAGGGGGCCCAAACTGGCCTTTCTCTGTAGTCAGACTGATGAATATCTTAAATGTCACCATAGAACCTCCATCCAGCAACTGATGTAAACAGAGGCAGAGACCTGCATTAAAGCACTGGACTGAGCTCCCAAAGTCCAGTTGAAGAGTGGGAGGAATGAGAATTTGAGCAAAGGAGTCAAGACCATAATGGGTTCACCCATTGAAACAGTTTACCTGAGCTAAAGGGAGCTCGTCAACTCTAGTCAGGCTGGGAAGAAGCAAGTATAGGACCAAACTTGTCCCTCTGAATGTGGTTGACAGTTGCATGGCTGGGGAAGACTGGGGCAGGGCAGTGGCACCAGGATTTATCCCTACTGCATGTACTGTCTTTTGGGGAACCTATTCTCTTTGGATGATACCTTGCTCAGCCTATATATAGTAGGGAGGACCTTGGACCTTCCCCAAAGCAATGTGCCTTACCCTCTCTGAGGAGTAGATGGCGAGGGGTGGGGTGATATGAGGGGAGAATGGGAGGAGGGAAGGAAGTGGGAATTTGGATTGTATGTATCATGAAAAAAATAAAGTTTATTTTCTTTAAAAACTAAAAACTAAAAATATATAAATTAAAAAGCGAATTAAAAAAGAAATAGCAAAGTAAAAGAAAAAGAAAAAAAGAAATTCTGAGTCTTTCAGCATATATCTAATCAATAATTGATCAATTTCTCCATTACTTCATGCTTGAGCACCTGGCAGACATGCATGGTGTTGGATGTGTGTTTTGTATATGGGGTGATTCCTATTCCTGATTATATCTTGCAACTGCATGAATAATAAAGACAATTCTGTATAACCTGGTCTAAAAAATAAAGACAAAAAAAAAAACCCTGTTTCCTATGCCATCCTCTAAATCTACAAAGTGTAAGTGTTTTTTTTCCTCAGCTGAACCCTTTCCAATTTCATAAGTTTATTTTTTGACTTAATTTGTCATGAATAAATTGATGATGCTCCCACCAAACATTTAGTAAACGCTCACTGAGACCCTCCTACACATCAGGGACCTATGGTGTTTGAGATGGGTTTTATCTGCCGTCCACTCATTCACTGGGTGTCATGGTGTAAGGCATCTAGCCTGTCTTTTTATAAGAGACCGATATTTGTGTTTGCTTGTTTTATTTTTCTATTTAAGTTTTTAAAGATAAAATGTTATGCAGGTCAGATTGTCCTTGAGTTCACTATGTGGCTCATAATGACCTTGACCTCCTGATGCTCTTGTCTCTATCACAGAAGTGCAGGGATAACAAATAAACACATGCCATCATACTAGCAACAGATGAAAAGTTCTGATATCAGCTTTTTTGTACTTCCTCCACAAAGTGGTATACGACATAATTAAAATCCACATGTATTATATAGATTAGAAGGTGAGCTCTTGTTATCTATATATAGATAATTTATGAGTGTATTACTACATGCATAGTCAAATAAATGTATATAAAGAATGTAGAAACTTGATTAGATAATTATTTTTTGCTTCTTTTGTTCTCAAAATGTTATTAGCAAACAATATATTAATTCGTAGGGATTTTTATCACTAATGCATAGGCCTGCCTTACTTTTAGTAGTGTTTCCCCTAAAATATAGACTTGAATTCTGTCTGGTAATTCAAGCTGACACCGAAGCTGCTGAAGCCCGTAGCGCACTGGCCACAATGTCAGCATGATGCAGCCACCACAAACAGCTGCTGGAAAGTCCAAAACCACTTCCCAGCAGATAAATCTGCACAGCCTTGGCTTACAGCTCGGCTCGCAGAGGCGGCACATGCTGTACCAGTGGGGTTTGTCTAGAACTACTGGGAAGTGTACGGTTTCATGGCTCCCACACCAGTCTTATCATCTCTACAGGGATAGGTAAAGAAACAGTTTTTTTTTTTTTAAAGCTCTAATTCTAAATGAAAATGTGACTTATCAAATGGCATTTCCGGCTATGGAAAAGCAAAGCATAGATGCAAAGCGACTTCAGACATTTTGTTATGAAAACCTGTAACCTTCTGCCACCATGTCAAAATGACTGCTTTGGCTTTGGGGCGGAGGCATCTAAAATTGCATCAGTAATGCTCTCCCCTGTGGTGAGATTGTCTGGGCTGTATCACAACAGCTGGACCCACCGGAAGTGACTTCTTTTTGCTCCAGGAATCTAGTGTATAGTAGTTTCTGTGCACCCAATGATGCTCGGCCCATATTGTTGCTCTCAGAGCAAGAAAGCTGTCCTTGGATAGGGAGTAAAGGATCCAAAGGATCCTTTTGGTTCATTTTGGTGAAGAGAAAGATGTGAGGCACAGAAAGACTCAACCTGGGTGGTGAAAAATTTCTCCTTCATCATGAGCATGAATGTAGATTCTATTATTATTATTATTATTATTATTATTATTATTATTATTATTATTTGTAGGGGATTGAGTCTATAGCCTCATATAAGCTAAGCAAGCACTCCACACTGAACTATCTCTTCAGCCCTCTTTTTTCTTTTCCTTTTGAGACATGATCTCACTAAGTTGTCCATGCTAGCCTTGTACTGTTAGATATTTCATGACATCATAAACATTTTTGCTTAACTCAATCGGACAAGCACAACACATGAATGTCAGAAAGGATAAGCAGAACACGCTGTTCCCTTGTTCACTCTGACTGATAACAGTCAACATGTTTCTGATGCAGCTTTAACACCTCCATGGCCCTTAGAAGGCATCTCTACTGATTCCGCAGGATGGCATGCTGCTAACACCCTGGAGCAAATGCTTCCTTGAGACATCTCTGAGAAGGAAATGCTTCTATGAGTCCTCCTTGGAAAGATGTATTTATTAGCTTAGTTTGTAGGAAACATTTATAAAACCCCTTACCTTTTGACCAAGTAAGCCTGGAAGACCATGAATGCCATTTTCACCCTAAAACAGAGTAACCAAAATAAATCTTATTAGCCACAAATAATATTGGGAAAGACCCTCCCCCCCACACACACACCTTTTGTATTTGTTGATTGTTTTTTTGAGACAGAGTTTCCTGGCTGCCCTGGAACTTGCTTTGTAGACCAAGCAAGACTGGCCCCAAACTCATAGAGAACTGCCAGCCTCTGCCACCCAGGTGTTAGGGAAGCTGCAGTATTATGAGGTAAGGTAAGTTTTTTCTGGATATCTGTCACATGCAGAGTCTTTCAACTTTTGTCAGGTCACAACTCCAGAACAATCACCAGGTTTTAAGATAAAGGGACGGAGGCCCTGAGAGATGCTAAGTACTCGTCACATAGTCCCAGTGTCATCCAACTTATAGCATCGCCTGAGATGTCCAGCACGTACTCAATGTGTATTCTATATGCTATGAAGTAATCTCTCCCCCACTTCCTTTCTTTTGCTTTGTTTTAAAATATCTGGGCAAATTAATAAATGCTTTTTTATGGGATAGGCATCATTCCCTGAGCAAACTTATCAGCGAGTTACTATTCTCGTAATCATCTTATATGAATGGACACACAATAACTGGTCTTAAAACTCTTCTCCGTGAGCTGTGGCCAATGTCTTGCTTCCTACATGGTCTTTGTCAACCAATTTAATAGTAGTTTCTAACTTACCTAACATGAGCTATCACATATGCACATATGCATAGTCTTACCACGTTAGAGACATGCTTATTCCCTTATCCAGATCTGTTGACTGCTGTGAGGTCAATTCTACATGAAACAGTTCCCTTCCCCCATGTGCATAAACATTTTCAGCAGATGCCTATCAAGTTCTGTTACTGGAATTCTTGGTCATTGCATTGACACTTCTGCTCTGGGGAGAGCACACCAGCTAGGAGATGCTCTCTGAGGGTTTCAAGCATTCTCAGTAAACCCTTGTCTGTTTATTTCAGTCTAGGAATTCCCCATGGCTCCCAAATGTGCAGACTCAGGCAGCTCCAAGCAAGCTAGCAATGCTATGACCTGCTTTACTTCTGTGAAATAGTTATTAAATTCACTTAGCAACAGTTTATAAGCATTCCTGAAAACATGGGAATTATTTCTCATAATAATAAATACCTGAAGGAGATTTAAGTATATTATGAAAAACATCGTGTCTTCAAATTTTTTAATGACAATGTGATGCTCTGCCTAAATATTTGGTTCTTAATTTTATTACTAATACTTGTTTTGGAAAGTTTTACTGTTTCTTTTTTTTTAAAAAAAAAAACCAGAGGTGTACTGTCATATACATGCACATTATTTTAAGAGCTAAGGTTTTTATTTGTTTGGATTAAATTATCAAAGTATTCTATAGTGTAGCTGCTGTCATCATAGTGAGGACACGATTTGGTTGTGATATGTAATTACATGAGGACGCACCCAAAACAGCATTCATTATCAGCGTGCTAAGTATTTCTACCACTTAGAAGTTATTACAGCTCTTGACCCGAGGCACCAGGCAGCACTCATAGAAAGCTGCAGTAACATCTGATTAGGAGATAACGAAATTACATCAAGTATCTGATGCCAATGGGCATTCTGTGGGAATAGAGCATCTACTACTCGTCACTGAAGTATGCCCACTTGTCCCTAAGAAGCATATTATTTTCCTCAGTTGATCTGATATAATATTTTATATCATATTGCAAGTTACTCAGGATAACAAGATACAGCATATAATCCATTAAAGCACAAGAATACGGTATTTACCCCGCCAACAGCCCGTTTCAGAGAAAAGGGAGTCGTGATGGTTCTTCCTCTCTTCTTTGCTAGCTGCCAACATTTACACCTCATGTGCTCTGAGCGCTGGCCTGGGTGTGTTGTGAGTTGATGCTTTGTGAATATTGGAAATATGGTGTTCCCCTATGACAAGTGTTAACTGGTCTCTTCTCTTTCCCCACAGAGAGACTTAAAATCACCTCTAATTGTCTATAGACCATAAGAGGAGTGTGAGCATCCTGGTTCCCATCATTATCTCAAAAAAGGGAGGAAAATATAGAATCACCATAAAAACTTACAAGGACATAGCTCATGCTAATGACAAGTATTGGTTCTGTAAAACTTCAAAATATTTAGGCTAGTAGCAGCAATCCTCTTAGTGCTTATTCTAGAACACAGGAGCAAAGCCCACAGAGGTGCAGGCAGTCGGGATAAACCCAGATTTGCATATAAAACCAGTATTTGCCTGACACTACTGGACGAGCATGTATCAGTTTTGTGTGTGTGTGTGCACACGCGTGTGTGTGCATGTGTGAACATTTGTGTTTATGTTTCTGAATTCCTGCTGCCTTTTTCTCTAACCATCCTAAAGAAGGCATAGAGGCTTCTCTTTTATTTCCCAGTCAAGATTTTAGTTTATTATTGGAAAAAGTTAAAACCAATAGTTTTAAAGAAATCATACCTTCCAAAACTCATTTCTTGGGATATGCTTTCTATTCCTGCCTTTTAATTCCTGGAACACACATGGTGGGAGGAGCGAATTGACTCCCAAAAGTTGGTCTGTGACCTCCCTGTGTGCACTACTCACACATGAACACACACTCTTAACAAATTAAATCAGACATAAACTGTATTTATACATCAAGCACCATTATAAGCTTCTAACTAACTTTTTCTGTCTGATTTACACTGTGGAGCACAAATAAAAAAAGACAATGCATCATGCATTTTTATTGAATTCAAGCTTCCTGAACCAAAATTATCTTCCAAATCTTATACATGACACCCATTTGGGTCACTATTAAAGCTTTCCATTCAGTAAACAATTAATGATAGTTTAGAATCTTAAAATTTTGACCCTGCTCTCTGGGTATACACTGGCCAGTCAATACACCTTTTAAAATGTGGCTTTCAAAACTCAGCATATTATATCAGAAATGGTCCCACACAGAACAGAAAGCAAGACCATTACCACCCCCCCCACACACAAATACACCATGCTGTTTTGGATGCTAAATTGCTCTTCTATTAATGTATTTTGCTTCTAAAATTGTGTTTGCATATACTGAGTTTGTAAGCAAGTATAAACACTACTAAAAATTTCCTTTCAAAGGAAAAATTTCTATTTCCAATCCTTTTTAAGTTATACACATGTAAGTTATATTAAGCTTAAAAACACTAAACATCTTAGAAATTATCTGGGGAGGTAGTAAAAGTTTCCTTCCACACCTAGACTTTTGTAGGATCGTATAAAAATCTGAGATTCCATGAAATTGATATGATCTTCTTAAAATGGATCTGTCCTAAACAAAGATTTGGGCTAATTATATTGTCAAATATAGGTTAAATACAGCCTCAATAAATTTTAAACTGCAAAACCAAGGTAGGGAAATCGAGACCTTTAATCTGAATTATCTACTGAAAGATCTGATGTGTGGTAACGGACACCTGCATTGCACACTCCTCCAAGTGAAAGATGATTTAAGATACAGAGCTCGGTGCCATCAGCCAGCTCCTAATTGCGGATGGTGAGATACCAGTCACGGCAAACCATTTCCTGTCCAGAGTATTCCTCGTGATGAGTAATTTATAGTGTGAGTCCGTATCAGTTACCTCTGCTAGGGCTCAGCTGTGCCTCGGCCATCAGTTAACTTAGCGTTGGCCTTGCAGTAAACGATCATGGAACCTTGGAGAATGAAATATTCCTTGAGATAATATAAGAAACCAAGGGGATTTTCAACCTGAGACAGGGTGGACAGAAAGACAGATAACAAAGCCTGGCTATGCTTTAGAGAGCAGGGAGGGCAGGAGACCAGGAAACGGGAAGCAAATTCTGGAGCTGTACACATGGTACCTATTACATTTCATTCTAGGAGGCAGCACTTCTAAGCATTGCTAGGTAGAGGGACTCCTTCCCCCAACTTCCCTGAAGTTTGCTTTTGCAGAAAGCCTTGGGAGTTCTTAGTAATTCACCTTTCCCTTTCACCACTCAACGTAGTTGTCTAACGGTTGTCTTTTATTTTCCTTCTGGACTTTGGGGCTAAGTTTCTTTGAGTGAACACTTATGAAGGTTCTCTCAGCATGGGTGTCCTCTATCAGCATGTATGTCCAAGTGTAGGCATCACAGATTAAAAAGACAATGATTCCTTCTATTCCAGGAGCTCCCAGGGATATACACACACAATTATTGGTGATGTAAGCAAAATACCATGTGAGGGGAATGGAGGAGCTTCCAATTTTGCTTACTGGACTAAAAACTTTCGTAAAAGAGCTGCATGATCTTGGAATGTAGTAATCAGTGATGATGATGGCAAAGGATCAAACTATCAATTGTCCGAATCCATCTTCAATCTTTCAAATTTTCTGACAGCTTTATTTAAGATTGTATAGTGGTACATGTGGCCCTGACTGAACTGGCTAAAAGATGCTTCTAATGGAACCACTTCAAGAAAGCTGTCTTCTAAAGTCACAAAGATGACTTAAACCATTGCAGATATTTCTTTAAATCCACTGCTCAGTATATCAGCAATCTACATGAGGAATAAGATAACTAGCTAGTTAGCTAAGCGATGTAATATTTATGTACTAGATACCAACTGCTTGTTAAACCAAAAAGGGACATTAGCAGACTGGGTTTCGGAAATCTGGCTAACTGTTTGGTAAATAAAAGTCAAGTGCTTGGGTGCCAGCTACACTGCATGTGTTGAGCTCCTCCTCCATCTGTTGTGGTCTCTGCCAACTGCTCTACTTGGGATGTGAGTGGAAGGCATTAGAAGGGAATGAGAAGCCATTAAGAAAGAAAGTCAGCTGCACAGGGAGCAGGTTTCTTCTGCCTATTTCTCTGCTAGCTCTGTCCTCACAATTCTGCTCATTGCAGTGATGGATTGTATCAACATACACCTCCTGACAAGACAACAACGAGACAGTCCACATCAAAGCCAGAGTTTTTCACCAAAAATGTTTTAGCCTTGGAACTTTAGCCAGTGAAACTAGAAAATATCTCAGTGAAAT